AGGGCTGGGCTGGTGGCGCTTGTCTAGAGTTGAGACCACAGAGGGGAGCCGCTGAGGAGTGAGCAGGGCAGGAGCATCAGTTCAGGCAGGTGCCAGGACACTTTCAGACCCTGCCACGTGGCAGCCAAACCTCAGCCACCCCTGGTGTCCTACCTCCAGGATGCCTCTTCATGAATCAGCCACTGGAGGCCCCAGCCCAGAAGGAGGGTCAGGCTGAGCAGGAGAAAATCATGGGTTCTGGGTGCTGAAGGCAGCTGGGCTTAATAGACATTGTCACATTATCACAGCTGGGTGGGGGCTGGGTGGGGCTGGGTACCCAGGGAGGCAGCTGCCCAAGGTCACACAGCCTTGGGGTGCTGGGCTGCCACCAGGGATCTCCTGCCCGCCTCCCCCACCCCCACCCCAATCCGTCATCATCATGCTTGTGCTGGCAGCTATGTCACTGCACCCAGCGGAAGCCCTTGCTGCAGGAGGGGAGCTGGGTGGGCACTGGGGACGGGGGACTCCGGGGGACTTGAGGAACGACAGGAGTTGTATGGGAGGAGATGGAGGAAAGGGTGTCGTGGGCAGGGCTGTGTTGGGAGAAGAGGCTGTGCTGGGGAGGCTCTTGAGAGTGGACTGCAGGAAGGGGAGGGAAGGGGAGCCTCTGGAAAACAAGGTGGCCCTGGTTACATGTGGCCCAGTAGAGTTTCCTGGCCTGCTCTGGGATGTGGCATTCTTGGGGCCACAGGTGAGGCTGACGGGTTGTGCCTGGGAGGGAGGCTAGACGTGTGAGGTCTATGAAGAGAGAAAGGAGGCACAGAGAGGTTGAAAGAACTGCCCAGGGCCACACGGTGAGAGTGTCATGGCTGTAGCTGGGGCTGGCCTTTGTTAGGCTGAGGGGGCCACCCATCACCACTCTGTCCCCACAGGACACTGACAGAACTTCTGAAGCAGCCAGGCCCGCAGGAACCCCTGCCTCCACCTCTGGGCCCAGCCCTGGGTAGCTGCGTCCAGGTGCAGATGGGAGACGGCCTCCCCCAGGGCTCCCCCCACAGCAGCACAGGTGAGCAGGTGGCCATGGCGCTGTTGCCCCCAAAGGAGCGAGGGTAGGGGCGTGCTCAGGCTGGGCAGGGGAGGCTCTGAGCTGTTTCCCAGACAGAAATGAGCTGCTTCCTCTGTGGGTGTGTGAGGGGCCCTCCCCTCTGTCCCTCGGTCCTGCCACCTTGAGTCTCGGGGGCTGTGTTTTGTGAGGAGTCCCAGACGCGGTTCTGCCGGCCAGGGCTCTGGAGCCTCGTTCTCCGTCCCTGGCTTGGAGGCAGAGCTCGGCAGCCCCCCCTCTCGCTTTCCCGCCTGAGTCTGTCCCTCAGACGTCCCATCTCGGCGGGAGCAGGTCGCGGGACTCAGCGCCTGCTCAAGCCGGGAGCCCTTCACCAGGGCGCACCCGCAGGGCAGGCTGCCACGGGGCGCGGTGCTGGGAGCCAGGCCCTGCTCCAGGCGGGGAGGTCCTGCCCTGAGGACAGGCTCAGTCTCTCCCAGAGAGCCCACCCGGGGTCCCGCTGGGCTGCCCTGAGAGGGCTGCAGGTGCCGGCGCGGGCCGAGTGCCCGGGTCGGCGGCGGGGCCGGCCTACTGACCCCTCCTGCCCTCCAGACAAGAAACGCCTCAACAACGCGGCCCTGGCGTCGGCCACCCCAGGGCCCCCGCGCGTCCCCCGGCTGCAGGGCGGCGGCAGCAGGACGCTGCAGCCCGACTACGCCAAGTACGCCACGGTCAAGGCCGCCGCGCTCAAGGCCGCAGGTGAGTGCGCCCGGGTGTCCGCGCTCCTCCACCGCGAGGCTCGAGGCTCGGGGCGCCCCGAGCCTGAGCCCACCCTGTCCCCGCAGAGGCCGCCCCGCAGGACTTCTATCAGCGCTTCCCCGCCCCCGAGCCGGTCCCGCGGGCCCCGCGGCCGCCAGACGACCTGCCCGCCTGCCCCTGGGCGCCGCCCGGCTACGCGCCCCCCGCCGGTCCCGCCGTGCCCGGCCACTATGCCGCCTGGACCGCAGGTCGTCCGGCCCGGCCCGCCCCCCGCGGCCACCTGGTGGCGCAGGCGTCCCCGGCGCCCCGGCGGCCAGGCCACGTGCCCCGGCGCCAGTTCAGCGTGGAGAAGCTGCCCGAGGCCTTTGGCCCACAGCCCCCCAGCCTTTACGGCAGCGCGGGCCGCGGTCCCCGGCACCTGAGCACCAACAGCAAAGCCGAGGTCACCGTGTGAAGCGGAGCCCTGTCCTCCCGAGGCACGGGGAGAGGGGGCCAGCTCTTCCTTCTGCACCGGCTGGACGGCGCCCGTGGAGCCTGCAGGGCCCGGGTTCCTGGTGTAAATTAACCCCGTTCTGTGGTTCCCACCCCTGAGAATAAAGGAGCCCCAGCTTGGCTGGGAGAGGCACTGATGGCGGCATTGGTCATTGACTGGACAGACGGCCGTGCCGGCAGAGGGCACAGCGTGTGCAAACGCAGAGGACTGCTCTGGGCAAACGAGCCGGGAGCCAGCGAGAGGCGGCTGGGGAGAGTGGCCAGGGTTGCCTGCCAGGCTGAATGCCCACACTAGTGGGTGCCAGGGGACAGCCAGCAGTTACACTCAGCCATCTTCTGGCCCAGGCACAGGGAGAGGGCTGTTGGCCTGAGCCCTTCTGGGGGCCCACGCCCTCTGGTGGAGGCGACCCTCCAGCGGGTCACCCACTCTACAGCTTGAGCTGGCTGAACCTGATCCTCACTGACATGGTCTGGCTGTGGGCCGGCCCCTGGCCTGCAGGCTGCTTGGCCGGATTGGCCCAGGGCCACCCCCCTAATGGGTGCGGGCCGTGTGGACATCTGGTGCCCAGGATGCGGGGGCCTCCTCCCAGGAGCTGCTCTGAGGGCAAGGGGGTGGGAATGCTGGAGCAGGAGCTGGCAGTGCCCCTCTGGGTGCCCCGCCACACGCCCGGCACTGCTGGCATGCCTTCCTGCAGGGAGGGCTCCTGGTGCCTGGCTGTGGCCAAGGCATCGCCAGCAGCCTTTGTGCAACTTCCAGAGTCCCTCTGTGCCAGGTACTGTTGGGGGAGATTGGGGAGGCTGGGCTATGGCCAGTGGAGGTGTGTGACCTCAACAAAGCCACCCAGTTAGGTCTGTTTCCCGCCTGAGTCCCCTAGGTGTGGTATAGTGTTTTAATAACAATGGCCACCTGTTGCCCTTACTTAGTCCTCACAAAAGCCCCATGGGGCGATTTTTACAGATGAGGAAATTCAGGTTTTGAGACCTAAGTAACTTGCCCAAGGTCACCCAGCTGTCTCACAGGTTAGGGCCCTCTGGTGTTACAGAGAATTTGGGTGAATGGCAGGCAGGGGCAGTCTGGGGTGGGGGTCTGCCCCCAGGGTGTGAAGTCTGGGACCTTCTTCCTGCTGGCTGGGCTGCCCTGAGGCCCCCACACCCATCAGATCCGGCCAGCTCCTCACCCGTCAAGGGTCCTGCCTGCAGTGAGGGGCCCCAAGGCTTGTGGGGAGAAAGCTCACTGTTGCAGCTGCTGGGGGTGGTGTGTGCCCCTGGCCCTGTCCCACAGCTGCATAGGGCGGGGGGAGGGGGTGGGTGCTGAGTCACCGAGCCTGCCAAGACTCACAAAAGGATCAGGGTTCCTGGGCACATCGGCCACCCACGCCACCTACCCTGAGTGACGCAGGCCCTGGCTGGGCTGCGTTGGAGGTGGGCAAAACCCCTCTGCTCATTCTCCATCGCCCTGTAGCCAGGCTAAGGCCATGGGCAGTGGCATCACTGAAAAGCTGATGTTGTAACTGTGGACAGGACCAGCTGCAGCCTGCTGTTACCGAAAACTCAGCACTTGTCCTCCACACAGCATCAGAAGAATGAGAACAAGCAGTTCAAGGAGAAGGAAAGAGAAGTTATTACTTTGCTGGCAAAGGAGGAAAAATGGTAGATCTTCTTGTCCCAAAATCCAAATTTCCTGAACATTAGCAGAAATACAGAGCTTTTAAAGGGAGGGCCTCTCAGTTCTACTGTGGTTAACTATTATTCTAATCTCCCATTTTAGCAAAGACAAAGCCCCACCTGAGCCCACCTGGGGGCTGGTGTCTGCCTGGGTTGGCTGAGATTTTTCCCCAGAAAGCGCAGGGAAAGTTTTAAAGAGAAAATATTTTTGCTGTTCCCCCCCACCCCCAGGTCCTTCCCTGTGACAGTGACTGCCCTTCAGAGAAGCATGTGGCTCAGAGCTTGAGGGACTGTTACTCAGCCGGGTGGGTAGGGCTGAGCCATGGACTGTGCATGTCAGTCGCCAGCTTGTTCCTACCCAGGTGGCACTCCCAACTCCACCCGTGACAAGGCCCAACACTCCCGTCCCAACCTTGTGGTGTCCCCCCATCCCTCCACACGTGTCTTAAGCCAAGCCTGGCCTCTGACCCGCCTCCCAAGGCACTTACAGTAAACTGGCACTGTGTGCCATGTCACTTAAACCCAGCCAGTGGGGACTTCAGTCCAAGGCAGAGATCAGCCTCCCCATTCTGCACATGGAGTGGAGGCTGAGATGCCAGGTCCCACCCAGGGTGACCCAGCTGGGAAATCCAGTTCCTGCACTTGGATCTGACTTGTGGGCCTGGGAACCTCCTCAGGGGGTCACTGCCTTCAGAGAAGGAAAAATTAAGGAGTGGCCCACCTGATAGAGATTTAGCACCCTGAATCTCAAAGAATTGTTGCTGTCAGCCGAGCCACCAGCATCACATCCGAGGAATAAGACGGAACCTGGAAACGGCAACCTCTGACCCCAGAAGCACCACCAGCAGCCCTTTTACCCCAGGCCCTCACTCAGCCCTGGAGTAGGCGCCAGACACTGGGAGGGGCCAGGTGCACTGGTGGGCAAAGGCCGGTCAGACTGAAGCCAGGGGCCTCTCAGCAGCGAGGGAGGGGCGGGCTCAGCCCCCGGCGCATTGCAGGCCAAGTCACACAGCCGCGTGGCTGGTCGCCATAGCAGGCACGCTACAGACCCTCACACACCTCGAGCTGGGTGGTACCAATCTGTGTTTATTGAAGAACCTATGTCCTGGGACACGGTGAATGATTCAACATCAAGGAAGCCATAGGTGTATCCCCCTTTTCAGTGAAAACCACCCCTTCCCACCCTCAACAATAACAAGAAAAGGCACAGTATATACACAAGACACGTGGGCTGGGCAGGGTCCATAAATTACAGTGAGTGGGGGCAGGGGCAGGAGAAAGGAAGCAGGTGGGGTCCGAGCACACCCCAGGGCAGGCCCAGGGCGAGGCCAACCCATCCCAGCCTGCACTCTGCATGGGGGGGGGTTCTCTGCTGTGTGCACCCCCGTCTGCACTGGGGCCCTGGCCCCCTCTGCTCCAACCAGCCCGAGATGAGAAGCACAGGGTCTCAGTCTCAGGAGCCCTGGGGAGAAACAGCCTTGGGTAGGCACCATGCCAGGGGATCCAAAAAAGTGGGACCACTTTTTCTCCTAGGACCCCCATCAAGATAGGGACCTCCTTCCCAGTGCCCACTATGACAAGGGCATGTTGCTGGGGAGGGTTGAGGGCTGGTCTCTGCCACCCTGGCTTGTTTTCAGGTAAAGGGTTAAGGATAAAAATATACAAGTGCTCCTTGAATTACAATGTTACATCCTGACAAACCCATCATAAATGGAAAATATCATAAGTCGAAAATGCATTTAATACCCCGATAAACCAACCCATCATAAAGTCTTAAAATTGTAAGTTGAACCATGGTAAGTCGGAGACAGTCTATACCACAGAGGTAAGAGCTGGGGGAGAGGTAGGAGGGAACCAAGAAACCACGTGGAAGGCCCCGGGCCCCAGTCCCAAGGGGTGGCTTCATCTCTCCCTGCCCCTGGCCTACCCTGAGCTGGGGCTGGCCGCCTAGGAGGTAGGGGAGTGGGAAGGAACAGGACAATTAAATAAGATACCATTTATTTTTAAAAAATTAAAAAATAATGCCGACATTATTTCATCTGTCCCCAGGCCTGTCCCCTGCCTCCCACCCACCCACCTCCCTGGGCCGGGCTCCCCTCCTTCCCTGGCCATCCCGTGTAACTGAGAGAGAACGACTGGCTTAGCGAGGCGTGGGGAGGGACGCAGACGCGGGGATGTATAAAAACATTCGTATAAAAAGGGGGGAGGGCACAGCAGGCACAGTCCTGAGGGCAAATCGCTCTCTAGTGCTCAGAGCCCCACGTCCCAGAGAGAAAGCCAGATAAAAAATGAGGAAGCAAAAAGGCGAGAGATGTTCAGGGAGAGAGAAACTCAGGAGGGCTGGAGGCAGAGGCTGTCTCTCCAGTGAGGGGACCCGAATTCCTGCCCTGCTGTCTTTGCTCTCAGGCCCACCAGGCCCTGGACCACGGGCATCTAGTGATAGCAGCTCTAAGGGCCTCCGCCCAGGGGCCTGCTGGCCTGAAGTGGTCCAAAAGCCTTGGCAGGTGACAGCTCAGAAGACAAGGCTTTGTCCCCACAGCTCTTGGGGGAGGATCGTGGGGGAGAGCGACACACAGAGGTGGAGGGCAGTGGGCTGAGCCCGGTGGTCAGGAGGCAGCAATGGCGGTGCCGCCACCCAGCTTGACAATCATCTGCTGGCAGTCGTTGCAGGAGCGCCGGTCACCCACCTTCTCCAGGGTGCGGGCGGCCTCGGCCAGCAGCACAGCCCGCTGGCCCGGGGAGGAGAGGAAAGAGAGGGGAAGGTGGCGGCAGGCCAGCAGGATGGCGGTGGCCCGCTCTCGCTGGCCAGGCCAGGCATCCAGCTCTCCTGTGGGAAGGATGAGATACGTGTTGGAACCGAGAGCCCCTGACGAGGCTGAGGCCGGTGCTGTTCTGCAGGCGCGACCTAGATCACTGATTTAACCCTCACACCCACCCGGAGGTGGGCACGGCGGCCCTCTCTAGTTCACCCCGGTGACCTTGGTGGCATCCCACGGCTGGTCTGCAGTCTGGCTCCAGAGCCCACCTCCGGCCCTCCTTCGTGGTCATAGCTGGGTCCCTTGCAACTAACACCCACGCCACGTCCACAAGCCACCAAAGCCAGCCTCAGGCTTCCTCCATAGTTAAGGAGGTGAGCGGTGCGCTTGAGCGCCCCCTGCAGTCCGGGGCGGGGCCTCACCGTGCTTGGCGCTCTGAGCCGTGCGCCTCCGCAGACTGTGCTCCAGCAGCTGGTGGGTGCGGGTGGGGCTGGCTCCCGCCATTAGGCGCACGGTGGCTTCGTGGAGGAACACCTGGGGAGGCGCAGAGGAGACATCGGTCAAGCCCCAAGTCCCCGCCTGTACATGCCCCAGTGGGTGCCTCTCCCTGAGCCACCTCATTGCCACATGTGGGTACCCCTCCCTCCCACTGCCCTACTTTGCTCACCCCAGGAAAGCAGCCTCCGTTGTCCCCTACTGTGACCCTGAGCCACACCAGAGACCTGGATGGGCAGCAGGAATGGGGAACAAAGCACAGGCCACTGGCAGGGACAGGAGGAAGGGGAAGACAGAGGTGGCGAAGGCAAAGGGCCCTGTGGCACTGTGACGAGGAGGGCCCTGCCACACCCTCTGGGTTCCCAGACAAGCAGCCTGGTGAAGCCTCAAGGCCGTGGAGGCTGTCTCCAGTTTGAAAAAAGGACAGGAGAGGGGGACAGAGAGGTGAGGGATGGCTGGGCTGGCACCAGAGAGGCCCGGTGCCCTGTTTCCTTCCGTTTCTTCAGAAAGAAACAGAGTCCAGAGGTTTGCAGGTCACAGGGTGCAGCTCTTAGGCAATAAGAACCACTGCCTGTCACTGACACTTCCGTGTCTCCTCAAATTGTTAGAAAATGACTCAGGTAGAAATATGTTGAGTACATTACTCTAATTAGCAATAAAAATTAAACAAAAAAGGAAATGGTTTGAGTCCAACAAGCCCAGTCACACAACTGCTCTCAAATGCTAGCTCAGACCCTGTGGTCACGGCCACGGGAGAGTCACCCAGCAGAACTGAAGCCCCCGGTGGCTCAAAAAAAACAGTGAATTTCCCTTTAAATGGGGTTCCAGGGAGACCTGTCACTCTGCCAACCAGTTATGAATAACGTCAGAGTGGAGCTCTGGACACGGCCAGGAGCCCCTGACTCACTGCCACCCCTTGGCGCCTCCCATGCAGCACTTGACTGGGGAGCCGCGGCTCGTGCTGGGCTCGTGCTGGGCTGTCCTCGGCGGGCAGAGCATGGCCCGTTCCCGTGCGCTTCAGGGCCAGGCACACAACGGTCACTCAACCAGCGTGCACAGGTCAGATGGCTGGCCTTAGGGCCAACTCCACGACCACATGCTGGTGCCTGTGCTGGGTTCTGGGGCTCAGGCCCCACAGACCCCGATCTGTCCCTCCCACCAGCCGGCTGGGCCTCACCTTTCGGTACGCGGGGCGGAAGCTGTGCGCCAGCCTGCGGAGGCTGCCCAGGTCCCGCTGGAAGCCAGCTAGCTCAGCGCCTGACGCGTGGTAGGTCTCGCCCAGGGCCTGGCTGGCGCCCGCCTGCTTTTGCCAGAGTGCTGTCCGCAGCGACAACAGCAGGTCACAGGTGAGCAGCTGGACCACCTGTGAGGGGAGCCAGGACAGAGAAGACAGGTGACCCGCCTATCCCAGAGGCAGGGACCCCAGCACCTACCAGGCCCTCCCCCAGCCCGCCACCCAGAAGTTCCAGGAGGCAGCGGCGGCCCGAGTCTGGAAAACACTCCGCAAGGAGCGAGAGCGGCTGAAGGGGAGCCAGTCCTTTCCGTCATCCTAGGAGGAGACTGTTCTCTCACTCTGGATTGAGAAAGTGAAGCCTCTCACAGGGCTACTGGCGTGTGTAGGGGACACAGCACAGGCAGGTGGCTGGGGCAGGAATAAAAACCCTTGTGGTCTGGAGGCACAGGTTCCTCCACCTCACGGGAGCCTTGCCATGGCCAGCCTGGAGGCTGAGACACCCACAAGATTCCCCAAGGAAGAGCCTGAGGGGTGGCATGGCCTGCAGGGGCGAGGGGGAGGGAGAGACAGGTGTCCAAGAACGCAGAACCAGAGAGGTTTAGTGCTTGGGTATGTAACTCATCGACCTGGGTTCAATCTCAGCTTTGCCACTTACTGGCTACATGTCCCTGGCACAGGACTTAATCTCTCTGAGACCCCGTTTTCTTCATCCAAAAAGTGGGCGTGGCATCCCAGGGCTGTCTGTTGTGTATGAGATAGCACTGTGAGTGCACACGATGCCACACAAGTGTCGGCCACGTGTACTCTCTGCTCACTACCTACGAGGCTGGGCTGCCCACGTGGCTCCCGGTGGCACCATGTGGAGCAGGGGGAGCAGCGAGTCCTTCCTGAGACGGCTGCGAGCAGTCCCCCAGCTCACATGGACCCCAGGCCGAGCCTCGTCTCACCCAGTTTGGCTCTTTTTTTCTCCCAAGGCCCCGGACATGGGAAGTCATGGTGCTGTCCAGACCCTGGCCTGTGCCAGCAAGGCCCTGACCCTTGGCCATGCTGTCTTCTGGATGCTGTCACACAGAACACAGGGACATGGATGGGGACAGCTGGCACTTCTCAGATGCGAGTGCTGGAAGAGGCCCCCCCCCCCCCCCCCCCCGCTGGGGGTAGGCGGCGGCAGGCAAGCCCAGAGAGACCTCCTCCTCCTCCTCCTCCTCCTCCCCCCCCCCGGGCACCAGAGCAGCAGGCCTGGCTGGATCTTGTCCTCTGAGGGCCGCCAGGCAACACAGGGTTTCCTAGGGTCACTCTCCTACCACAGAGCTGCTACCCAGGCACCCTAGCCCCAAGGGTGTCCACGAACCTCTCTCTCTTCCCCCAAACTTAGCCTAAACTATTTGGTTTTCTTATGAAGACAAACACGAGAGACTGACAGAAAGCCCAACAGAGAAAGTGAGATGGGCCTCCGCTTCCTGCCTCTGGTCTTGGCCCCTTCTTGTGCACTGCCTCTCTCTGTAGGGGCTGGCACGCTGTCCTGGGTCCACTCCGGTGCCCAGGCCCACTAAGAACCTCTAGCTTAAAGTGCCGGCCTGGCCAGCTGAGACAAAACCCCAGTGAGTGGCTCCGAGTCTGACCCTCCAGGACTCCCCTCATTCCTCCCTCCATGGAGTTAAGCCACGTATTCCCCAGGAACAGGTGATGCTCCACTTCCAGCTGTGAGCCCTCCCCCTTTTCCCAGGGTGGCTGTGCTTTGGGACCCAAGTGTGGCAGCACTGCCCTCCAACAGGACCTTTTCCCGGAGGGATGGGGCCTTGGGCAAGGACATGGAGGGCAGCCTCTCGCGGGCCGGGCAGGCCTCTGGGATGCACTGTGGAAACACTGCATGGGTACTGAGAACATGCAATGCAACTACAATGCACCGCAGCTGCCCGCTGGGAGGTGGGAGACTGGCCGTGGGGGCGCCCAGGGCAGTCAGCTGGCTCCGTGCGTGTGTACGTGTGTGTGTGTGTGGCTGGGTATGGAGGGACCCACGCAGAGGCCGGCCTGCAGGGGACTGGGGAGTCGGGCAAACTGCCTGGAGCAAATGCCAGGCTCTGGCCAGCGGTGGCTCACCAGGGCTGACAGCCTGTGGACCAGAGGGATCTAGGACTCGGGGAGCTTACGAAACGTACGGGTGGAAATACACTTCAGAGAACAAAAAAGGGATCTACCTGGGCTAGTGGGCCATACTTTTGGGAAAGGGGGCTGTGAGCCTGGTTCCTCTGTCTCCTAGACAGCCCCACATGCTGGGTCTGCTTGAGGCAGGAGGGAGAGTTCTTGCAGACCAGAGCTGAGCACCTTCTAGAGGGGCCGACTAAACCCTGACTCACGTGGTTAAGGGTGGGGTCAGAGGTGGCCCCGCTGACGTTGAGGCTGCTCCACAGGTGGCTGCTGGCTCTCTCGCAATGGCAGAAGGCGCTCTGCTGCCCATCTGGCTTCCCAGAGAGTGAGGCGTGCATGGCTCTGCAGGTGTGGAGCACAGCCTTCACCAGGGGGCTCCTGCAGCAGCGACAGGGAGGTGGGAGGCGGGTCAGTGTGTGCCAGCTGTGTACCAGGTAGAGGGGCCCAAGCCAGTGACCGCCACACCCCACACTGCTGTGACACGTGGGCCTGCTGACTGCAATGCTGCCACGATGCTTTCAGGTCACTGGCCCTGGGTCAGGGCCAGCTCCCGACCCCATAGCACCCCCTCATTCAGTGCAGGACGCGATTAGAGACCCAAGCTCAAGCACCAGGACTGCCACTAAGAAGCTACCCCAAATGGTCATTCCAACATCTGTGCCTCAGTTCAAGTGGCCACAATATTGTTTGCTACTAACTATGGTGACATGATGTGTTGGCCCTATTATTTGTCCCTGTTCTCTAAGGGATGGACCATTTCCCCACAAGTCTGGTGTTAAACTCTCTGGAGAAGCTTAGCTTCTTTTCAGGTGGGGCTGCGGAGGGTTCCCAGAGCATCATTGTTCCCACAAAGCAAAGGACCCAGGAGTAATCAAATCCAGAGCTGGCAATGCCTGCTGGGGCATCTTAGCTGTCTGCTGCAGCTCTGCTGCTCAGCAGTGAGACGACTTTATACAACTTACCTGCCCAGCCTCAGTTTCCTCAGAAGGGCAGACAGGGAGACACACGCAGGTGGAGTGCTAACACCGGGCTGGCGCAGGTGTGTGCTTACTAGTTGGGGGGCCCGAAAATGGAGCCACTTAATGCAATCAGGGTGTTAGATCAACTTTAGGGGACACAGGGCTTCAAACCTGCTTGCACTACTTCTCTCGGCTCCTTTCTGTGTTCCTGGTGAAGAGTCTGCTCAATGGGAAATGCTACAGCCTTGGCTCTCAGGATAGGACCTTGTGGGTCCTTTTTGCCTTGGAGCATTTTACAGTTTCTCTCAGGAACACTCAGATCCAGTAGGAAACAGCCAGGGCTTAGCAGGCGGGGCTGCCCGTCACTAAGGGCCAAATGCTCCCGAGACACAGATGTGAATCTCCAAAGAGGAATGTCAAGAGCTCTCTGGTTATGCCATGTGCTGAAGGCTATTTTAGTTACAGGACAAGGGTGCCAGGGCTGATGGTGGGGGTGGAGGGTGGCTGGAAGGAAACTGATAAAATGCTGGCACACGGCAGGAGCCTCGGGTGCACACAAGCTCCAGGGGAAACACGGGTCTCCCTACACTGCCCACGAGGCACGAGCACACTGCCTGCCTCCGCCATGATGCTTCCAAATTTGCCAGGAGCCACAGGGCTCTCTGTCTCTCCCTTTTAGCCCGTGGCGCCGCCAAGGCTGCAGGGAGGAGGCCTGGAGGCAGTGCTGACAGCTGCTGGGATGGCTGTGGTGCCGGGCAGAGCAGACACTTACACAGAGGACACGATGGCCCAGCCTGGGTTCTTGTGGTGCCCTCGTCCCCCTTTTCTGGCTCCCCATCTGTCACGCAGCCCTGAGCCTTCACCCTAACCCACCCACCACGGCCAGCTCTCTCCCGTGAAGTCAGACACGATTGCCCTGCAGAGGAGCAAGGGAGCAGCCAAGGAGGATTACGCACTCAGTCACTTCCAGGGCCTTGGGGACACGCTCTACTTTGGTAAAATGAGAGCGCACAGCTGCGTCGTCTCCCTGAAGCCAGCTGATGGCCACGGTGATTGCAGACGTCCACCAGCGACAGATGACATCTGGACCTAGAGGGGGACAGCACCACACATACTCCAGCACCCAGACACAGACCTGTGGTGCTTAGCAGCTGGTGGCACCTTCTTGCTAAGTAGTAGGTGGCATCTTCACCGTCTGGCGACGGGCTGGGGCCTCTGGGTTCCCTTTCCCACGTTCCTGGTGGGAGCATCGGCCAGCACGATCTTTTGGATGAGTTTGACAATATGTACCAGAGCCTTAAAAATGTTCCCTCTTGTTAACCTAGTAATCCCATTTTTGACAGTCCACAACAATGAAATTGGCTTAAATAGAGAAAAAAGTTTAACAGAGATGTTCATTGTAGTGTTACTTTATTCTTAACCTAAACTTCCAATAGCCGTAAAGTACGGTGTCTTCAAAGTACCTATCTGTAACAGGCTCATGTTAGAATATTTTAAGTCTTTTCCTCTCTCAGCCTTAGTTTTCTCAACTGAAAAATGATGTGCGCTCACAAAACCAGTGGGGATGGTCATGTAAGAAAAAAGGCCTGAGAGCACATGCTCTTCCAAACTCTGAAATGAAGCAAGGCCACAAGGTCAGTGGTCACAGTGGGGTGGCTGCTCTTCTGGGGTCTTCCCTCCTGAGGGAGAGCGGCCAGAAAGTACCTTGGTCCCCCAGCTCCCCGAGTGGCCTCGGAAGCCCAAGAGCTGGCAGCTGATGTGCTGTCAGCCCTCGGCAGTTCCGGCCCAGGCGTCAGTTCAGCCCGGGGGCTGCGCTACGACACGGAGGCAGTGGGGAGCGGGGGGAGGCCTGGTGAAGAGTCCATCCAGCAGAAGGTGTGAGAACCCAGAGCAGCCTCAGAGGCCACTGCACCTCTGAGAGGCGAGTCCCCACCATCCCTGGGGCCCGGACTGCTTGGGGCCTGTTCTCCTGGGCGTTTGAGAAGGGTCCTGACCGAGGAAGACGTGCACTCACTCTTTGTCCCGCTTGTCTGAGAACCAGCACTTCCAGCCCCTAGAACGCTGCCCAGGCTGGGTAACTGTGGGGGGTGGGAGGGCTGCAGGCATGAACCTGGGATCCAGAGACGATGCCTGAGCACACACTCACATAACTCTGGACCCTGGCAGCAAAGGAGGGGGAGGGACCAGCTTACGCACGCCCAAGACCTGGGGCTGCCCACAGATGCTCACCAAGGGCTGACTTGAGCACGGAGCTGCTGGAGAGCGGGGGGGTCACGATCCCCACAGAGTCCACAAAAGAATGAAGTAATTTCAGGTACTCCAGAGCCCTGGAGAATTCACTAGAAAGAAAAGAAAGGGCCCCTTGAACATCAAAACACACACACGAGTACCACACTGATGGTCTAGCTGTTCAGCCCTCCAGCCCTGAGACCCGACGGCCATTTCCAGCCCCTTCTCTCCCCTCCCCCCAGGCCTGCCATGGCAGTCTCTGGGTTGTCACCGACACTCTTCCCCCTACTGGGGGGCCAGCCTTTCTCTATCATCCCCCACCAACTAATCCCAGCTCCTCCCCTCAAGGCCCAATTCCAATGTCATCCCCTCCCAGAAATTTTCTGCTCTCCCAGGCAGAACTGGCCACTCCCTCCCTCCTCTAGTGCACGCCAATCAGGACCCGGGCCCTGAGTGACAGTGACTCTGGCACCCTCCTGCCTCGCAGGTCTTGCTCTGTGAAGGAGAAACTGTGCTTGGGAACTATGTAAAGTGCTAAAAGTTGCTTGGCACACTCAGCAAGGGGCTAGGTCCCCAGGGTGTCGCCTGCCTTCTGCCGAGCCCTCCACCTTCCTTCCCCTCTCAGCAGGCCACTGCTCTCCACCCCAAGAAGCACCATCAAATTCTGGACTCGCTCCAAGTACTGACTGTGTTTGGAGAAAGGATTTGTAAAAAGGGACATACTTGGTCTAAGAGAAAGGGCCAGGTCGGCACTCACACAGGGCTCTCATTTTTGAGAAATACAAAGGGATCATTCGATCTCCTGGCCCACTTGACACAGGGCTTGTTCCATCTAGGAGTGCAGACCCTGAGCTGCCTGGGCAGACAGGCCCCGAGAGGCGGGGGAGACTGGCCTGGGGACTTTACCAGCTGTCTTCTTCTGGGTCTCCAGCCTTCCTCTTGGCCTGGGGTTTCACCAAGGACTCCACAGCTCGCTCCAGCAGGTTTTTGCAGAAGGCCTGGTGGACCTGGGCAATGGGGTCAGCTGTAGAAGGGACAGGCAAGGAGATGAGTTAAATGGGCTTTATTTATGAGCCCATTTTGTCTTTGTGGAGAAAACAGAGGACAGGGAGAGAAACCCAAGAAACAGCTATGCCCTGTACCTGGGGGTCAGATTCCCAACCAAGTTCCACAAGTACCACGCACAGGCAGAGGTTGGGGCAGCGTGTTCATCCCAGACTGAAGGGCCCACGACTGTGCAGTTCTGGATTCGCAGGGAGGTGGGGGGCGGGGTGAATGGAGGGAGCTGTGTGTCCTGGCACACTGCTCAGCACTTCACGGGTGGGAGCTGTGAGATGGTGCCCACGAGCCTGGGCAGAAAGCAGGAAGCAGAAAGGTGGACAGCCGCCCCACGTCTCAGAGGCTGCCTCTTCTCCTTGTAGCTTAAGGGGAACAGCTAGCCAAGGAGAAAAAGGTGGTGGCTGCTGCCATATTCATGACAATGAAGAACCTGCTCCTGTTCTTCCAGAGCCTTGTTATGGAATCTGCGACCAGCAATGACCTGGCCAAGCCGATTAAACAAGGGGCCTTGTCATGCTTGCAGCCACTGACTTTCACCAGCAAATCCCCTTCCTTGCCGGCTCAAACCATGGCAGCACCAGCCTTTTCTCTCCCCTCATATGTGGCCCTGCCTCGATCTGACCACGAGGAAGAGGAACACGTATGGACATATTCTGGGTGAAAAGGCCAAGAGCCGGACGCTGCAAGCGGTGACCAAGCCGGTGGGAAGTCTGTGTTTAGCCAGCAGGGCTGGGGTGGGAAGACTGAGGATTGCTGGATTGCTTTTGCGTTCACATTTTACTTTTTGGTGTTGCACACAATTCTTATGTTGAGCAATAAAGTTGTTATTTAAAAAAGAAAAGGACAACAGACATCCCTAACGTTTGCCATACACTCCTGTACCTGCAGAGCCTCACTCTCCCCACAGACGACTCTCAATTCAAAGAGGGCGAAAGTACAGCAGAAAGCAGGAAGCCACTGAATGCTCAAGGTCTAAGTCAACCTCGACTGGCCTCTACCGCTCCAAGGCCTGGCAATCGACTCTAATCACTATCAACTGCCAGGGACAGAAAGCCAGCGCCTCCTTCAGATGCCTGGAGCCCCATCCCTGTCACCATGCTGAGCACTTGATGACCGCCTGCCACCTACTGTTCCCTAACTGCTCCATACATGTCTGTCTGCTCTCCCAGTTGGACCAGAAGACCGGAGGCCAGGAAACAGCAAGCCCCACACATCCTTTGTGTCTCCAAAGAGCCAAGAACAAGGGCTGAGAGTACAGTTGGTGCCTAATCACAATTTATTACCGTGTGGCACTGTGATGCAAGGACCGTGGGCTCTGAATGTCAGCGAGCAGAGCTGCAAACCCAGCCAAGTTGCCGACAGTCTCTGCTCAGGTCTGTGACCTTAGGCAAGTTACTCAACTTTCCTGAGCCTCAGTTAAAACAAACAAACAGATTAACCAAGACTGAGACAACCTGTATCTCCACATGCCGTAACCCTGCAGTATCAGGGGCTCCCATGGTTTCTCCAGTTCTGCATGTTTGCAAGGGTGTTCTCACCTGGGTTCCTCTGGGCACAGTACAGACTCTCCTTGGCGGCCGACTTCACTGACCAGCTCCGCTCCATGAAAAACTTCTGGCCCAGGGGGTGGCAGAGCCAGCGCAGGGAGTCAGGGACAGCACTGCGTTCGGCGCCACACAGGCTCTGGGCTCGACTGAGGAAGTAGCTCTGTGGAAGGACAAGGACCAGTGGTGACACCAAGGCGGTGGAATGCTGGCTGCAGCCACTGTGGGGCCGTTGGAAAGCGGTGGAGGCCAGCTTGCGGGGAGCGCAGGGAGAGATCAGTTGAGGGTCAGGCCCTCAGTGGACCCCTCCACTGAAGCCAGGGCCAGCGCTCCAGTGGCACCTGCCAGGCTTGGTAACCAGGTCCAAGCCCCAGCAGGGTACATGGGGGGCTCCTGCTGTGTCCTGTCTTGGGGCTGGGGCTGCCCCACCCTACTGGAATCAAGTCCTTACCCTGCCGGCATTCAATCCGCAGGGCGAGTGGGGAGAGGGGAGCTATCTGCAAGGTGCCCCGTGCTGCACCTTGCCCTCAGCCCCCCGAGTGCCAAGCTAGGCAGCCCCGTTGATCCTAGGGGGACTTCTGCCCATCTGTCATTGTAATTACATATCTTTTAGAGTATTTTTAGGCAAAACTGTATTCTGCTTTGACCAGTTTTTCATCTCTTTTACCTCTGAGCATAGAGTGTACAACACTGTCCAGCACACAGCCAGCAGTCAGGATCACACCAGATAGCCTGGAGCAAAGGGGACCCACACAGGCGTGCGTGTGCACGTGTGTGGGTGAGACGCCCTCCCCACAGAGCTGGCCCAGCAGGGGAGCCCCTACAGAAACCCCAATGGCCGCCGCATGAGCACCAGCCTGCAAGGAGAGACCAAGAGGGGGCTTTGCAGCCTCTTTGCCAGACAATTCAAAGAGCTGGGGCCCAGTTTCCAGGTCCCTTCTCCACCTGCCAGGATAACATCCTTCCAGGGCCCCAGGGACAATGCTGCCTATCGCATGTTTTCAGGAGGTCTGTCACTTTTTGAATCAGGATATCTTCACTCTAACACCCACAATTGCCAGCCCATATTCAAAATGAGCCAATATGAATAAGGAACCGAGGAGAGACAGACGGCGCGGGAGCCCGGGGGAGGGGCAGCTGGGCCAAGGCCCGTGGACCTCGACCTTCACACTTCAGCCCCTGCCTCCACAATGAGGGCAGCCGTTTCACGGTCTGGTTCAATCTGATGGTTCTGACCTTTACTGGGCTCAAAGTAGCCATCAGCTAATGTAACAGCTTCAGAAGACTTGAATGCCAGGGTCAGAAATAGCACTGCCAAAGCGCCACTCAAGGACACAGATGGAGGAGACCCTCTCTCCAGGGGCACCTGGAGACAGCTGCCTGGATCCGAGAGAAAACAACCTGGCCAAAGTGCTCTACAGACATGCACTCACGCTGTCCTGGCAGCTTCTGGGACAAGCCGGGGCACTTCACTTGCATTTCAAACACAGGGCCAGTGCACTAAAGTCTTCCCCCTTTGCTGACTAGCCTGGAGGAAAGGACACTGGAGAACACGTGTACACAACCGCCTGACCTGCCAGCCTTCCACAAAGCACTTGCTGAACCTGAGTTGGTCTCTGGCAAGGGTGGGAGAGCAGCCACTGAGGAGCCAGAGGCTGGGGGTGGGGGTGGGGTGGGCAGTGTGATTCCAGGGCTGCTTTGATGTCTCAGAACCTTCTAGCAAACAGTTGGCTCCAACTCTCTCTCCAGGAAAGGAAAACCTGCTCCACGTGACTGATCCGCAAGGGAGTCTGATGGTTGCTCCAGGGGAAACAGAAGCAGAAACAAAGCCTAGTACAGGTCATGTGGCAAGAAGACTCCAGAGAGGCCAATGAGGAAATCATTAAGTTAAAATACATTTTTAACACTCTAGGAGGCCCAGGCGGGTGGACTGCTCCAGGTCAGGAGTTCGAAACCAGCCTGAGCAAGAGCGAGACCCCGTCTCTACTATAAATAGAAACGGAAATTCAATTGGGCCAAGGCTAACATATATATGAAAAATTAGCGGGCATGGTGGCACATGCCTGTAGTCCCAGCTACTCGGAGAGGCTGAGGCAGAAGGACTGCTTGAGCCCAGGAGTTTGAGGTTGCTGTAGCCTAGGCTGACGCCACGGCACTCACTCTAGGCAACAAAGTGAGACTCTGTCTCAAAAAAAAAAAAACCAAAAAACAAAACAACAAACAAACAAAAAATACATTTTTAAGATTAATTCTTAGAAAAGAAAAACTTTTAGTTTTAGCAATCTCAATGTGTGGGGGATATCTTTACACCACAGAGTGGAGAAAAAAATAAGTATAAAATTTTTAAAGATTAAAAAAAAATTAAAATGGTTAGAGGGCTTGAATTTAGTGGTTTAAGCTACAAGAATATAAATCCTGGGACCACAGACATCCACAGTATGGTTTCTTAAGGGAAATTGAAAAAATAACTTTTGTTACTTTTTAAATTCTTTTTGGCATTATAGTCCTATAATAATTTTCCTGAAAAAAATTTTCCCTAAATTTTACAGACACCATCCAGAATTCCCTCCAAGCTGGGGCTTGGAACCTCTCGCCTACCAGCTCATCTGTTAATTGTCTGATGTGAGAGAGGCTGTGGCAGAACCAGAACTGTTAACAGATCCTACAGCCAGCCAGTCCCAACTCCAGGTCAGGTCCCCCAACATCGGTCTAACCCTACAGTCTCAAATCGTGTGCCAAGGTACCTGAAGCACCAAATCGAGCACTCAGGGGAGCCACAGGCTGTTTTTAATTCCTGATGAAAACAGCAATGCTCACATCAGGTAGACACTGTGTAAACTAGATGGAGACGGTTTGCAGCCTCAGCGTGAGATCACACTACGTTCTTTGAATGATGTCCTGTCTTTGTAAGGGCTGAATTTTTGGAGGCTGTTGTGATAAAAAGTACTGTGTGAAAGTCAACGTGGAAAAGGAAAGCATAGCCAATTTGATTCCCAAGCTTGAGGAGCTGTGCAGTGCTCAGTAGGCATGTGCATCCCATCTTAGTAAATCATCACAGTTATAAAGAATCAAACTAGGCTGGGCGCTGTGGCTCACGCCTGTAATCTTAGCACTCTGGGGGCCGAGGCGGGCGGATCATTTGAGCTCAGGAGTTCGAGACCAGCCTGAGCAAGAGCGAGACCTTGTCTCTACTTAAATAGAAAGAATTAGCCAAACAACTAAAAATACGAAAAAAATTAGCCAGGCATGTGGTGCCTGCCTGTAGTCCCAGCTACTCAGGAGGCTGAGGCAGGAGGATCGCTTGAGCCCAGGAGTTTGAGGTTGCTGTGAGCTAGGCTCACATCACGGCACTCTAGCCCAGGGTGAGACTCTGTGTGAGTCTGGAAGGAAGACAAAGCTTTTTTTTTTTTTTTTTTTTTTTGAGACAGAGTCTCGCTTTGTTGTCCAGGCTAGAGTGAGTGCCGTGGCGTCAGCCTAGCTCACAGCAACCTCAAACTCCTGGGCTCGAGCGATCCTTCTGCCTCAGCCTCCCGATAGTGGGACTACAGCGAGCCACCATGCCCGGGCTAATTTTTATATATATAATCTTGGCCAATTAATTTCTCTAGTTATAGTAGAACAGGGTCTCGCTCTTGCTCAGGCTGGTTTTGAACTCCTGACCTTGGAGCAATCCGCGCCGCCTAAGGCCTCCCAAGAGCTAGGATTACAGGCGTGAGCCACCGCGCCCGGCCAAAGACAAAGCTTTGAATTTGGTGAGATATGTTTAGGTAACACATGAGGCAGGTACTGGGGACGAGTGGAGGGCTGGCCTCTGTTAAACTGGTTTAGACTGGAGGTTCCCAGACTTGCTGGGTTCATGGCACTCTATATCTCAGTAACGTTTTCATGATGTCCTTCAGCCACAAGAAATACCTGACACTTCTGTTTGTTAAGTAGTTAGGTTTGAATATCCAATACGGTATTTTTTTTTTTTTTTTTTGAGAGCATAGTCTTGCTTTGTTGCCGTAGGCTAGAGAGTGAGTGCGTGGCGTCAGCCTAGCTCACAGCAACCTCAAACTTCCTGGGGCTCAAGCGATCCTCTGTCTCGCTCCCTCCCAAAGTAGCTGGGACTACAGGCCCATCGGTGGCCACAATGCCGCGCTAATTTTTTCATATGATATATGTTAAAGTTGGCCCAATTATTCTCCTTCTTGTATTATCAGTGACGGACGGGTCTCGCTCTTGGCTCAGGGCTGGTTTTCACCACTCCCTCCCGACCCGAGGCAATCCGCCGCCTCGCGGCTCCCCAGAAGAGCTAGCGATTATCAGGCGTGAGCCACCGGCGCCCGGGCTCCCTAATAGGTATTTATCGTTCTTAATAGCTTAGTTAGCAACATTTGACAAAAGATCATACATGAAGTTGAAGGAAAAAATACTCATTATGTTTGATGACAGAGGTCTCATTCCTGTCCCACTGGGCAAGAGTCCCTGGCGTCAGCCTACGTTCACAGCAACCTCCAAACAACTCCTGGGGGCTCAAGGATCCTCTCTGCCTCAGCCCCGAGCTAGGCTGGGACTACCGGCACGCGCCACCACGCCCTGCTAATTTCTCTAGTTTTTGTAGAAATGGGGTCTCATCAGGCTGATCTCAAACTCCTGGCCTTAAGCAATCCTCCAGCCTTGGCCTCCCAGAGTGAGACTGTCTCAGAAACAAACAAACAAACAAACAAACAAACAAAAACTAGGCCAGGCACAGTGGCTTATGCCTGTAGTTCTAGAAACTTCTCATACACTTGCTGTCCATTTGTATGGCATCGTTGGTGGAATGTCTATACATCTGACCCTTTTAAAACTTGTATTGTCTAATTATTTTGAATAGTAAGAGTTTTCTATTTATCATGGATCTAACTATTTTATCAAATGCATAATTTGTAAGTATCTATGTATAACTTTGTGGGGTTAAAAAACATCTATTAGCGTTATCTGGGAAAAGTGAGCATACACACCTATCATATGATCTAGCACTCCTCCCCCAATTATATTCCCAATAGACATGTGGACACATATGGACCAAAAAAATAGGGACAAGTATCTTTTTTTTTTTTTTTGGCATATTATGGGGGTACAGATTTTAAGGTTTCAATAAATGCCCATTTCCCCAGGGACAAGTATCTTTATACCTGA